ATAATCGAGGCGAACAATTTAGATACTATATTAGTTAGACTGATCCCCATGTGATTGTCACAAGAGGACTTTTGTTCTTTCATTTAGATTGGGACAATCAGCGATTGAGACCAGTCAGATGGGATTACGTCCAATTCCCACATTCTACCTTAGGATCTCAGTCAGTCTAACCGTTAAAACTGGACCACCATACTTAGACATCTCAGGAGTAAGCCTATCAGGACCTGCTGCTCTACCTCCCTTTAGATTTCCTATAGCTTTCTCAACTTCATGTAGATTGGGAGGACTTAAGTCGATTTGTCATTCAGGATGACTGGAGATCGTGGGCAACCGAAGTGTGGCTGAAGACCAGTTGAACTGATCCCTAAAGTGTTCTGCCCATCGATCCAGTCTCCTGGATTAAGAATGGATAATAAGACCATCCTTTTCCGACATAGTGTCACTAACATTCGGGTTGCTAATACCGGTTTCTTTGATAAGGCGGAAAAGTAGTCTAAGGTGGTCTATCACCGCTGCCTTTTTCATCGCTTTTGCTTTCGACAACCACCATTGTTCGCGGTCGTTACGTAAGCTTTCTATCAGTCTGCGCCCAGGCTGACTTCGCTCTTCAACAAGTTCCGAGCCACGTGGGATGCATTTTCGAGCATCCATCAGTTCGGTGGATGCGACTGAAACTCACGGCTTCATCCTAGCCTTATGGTTTACCTTACTAGCAGATATTACTGATGTTTCCACAGAACTTCTTCATATCATTCCGACCTGCCTCCGTATGGGAATTACTTGCACGGCCGCATAACTGCTTTTCTAGTTCCTCCTGAAATATATTCCTAGCTTTATTTTCATTAAGTAAAGCCCTAAGAGGCTTCCTTACGGTGTCTTTCCTACGCCCAGTAAGCTTCAAACAAATACGAGCGCGCACTAGGGCATGATCTGAATTTAAACATGTGCCCCAGAACGAGCGACAGTCCTCTATCGAACTCCTCCATCGGTGGCTGATGGCGATGTGACCTAGTTGGGTCCAACGTTGAGACAACTTTGGAGGTCGTCAGGTCAACAGATGCTTTTCCTTATGCCTAAAATTGGTGTTTTCTAGAAATAGGCGGTTATCTGAGCATACTTGCAACAGACGGTCGCCATTTTCTGTTCTCTGAGCCCCAACACCATAGCAACAACCTAGGTGTCTTTCATTTTCACTCAGTCTACCTACTTGAGCATTGAAGTCATCAGCCATTATTACTACATCAGAGTGCCTAGCTTTTTGGAGGAGGTCCAAAAGCTTTCTGTGAAACTCATCTTTAACCTCGTCCGAACTGCAGTCAGTGGGGACATAGGCAGATACGACGACGAGTGTCCCTATAAATCCGAATCCTTACTGTCCTGTTTAGTCGGACAGCGCACAAGCGACTATCTACAGGGATCCAGTCAAGGAGAGATTGTTAAGCTCTACGACTCAATGCTCTACCTACACCAGCGAGACCCCTGGAAGCAGCATCAGGGCTACCGGATACACGAACGATAAGTCGAGTTGCTTCTTTATCTTCACATGATGAGGTCAAGTGAATGATGCTATTCGGATCCTGTATGCGCGCTTCCGAGACGCAGCACACATCGCTTGACCGAGATTCCAAAGTCCTAGCTAATGAAGCCTGTCGCCCTATTCGACACAGTATCCGTACATTAAAAGCTCCAACATGTAGTCTAGAGCTGGGTTTCAAGAGACCAGGAATAACGTTTCGTGAACTCGCATCGTTTGCATTAGCTGTGCAGTGTGATAAAGGAATGTGAGTACAATTAATCGTGGAGATAAGAGAGACATTAGAAGGTGTAGGAAGGACTTAATTTCGACCGATTTGGTCTCGCGTGCTGTTACGGGTATGAGGGCGGTTGTCACTTCCCGGCTGCCCACACCGTGGAAGGTTGTTTCTTGAGGAACCTGAAAAGGAAGATAGATTAGAGTTGGTCTTAGAGACCTTAAAGAGTGACCGCAGAGCCCAGGGGACAACTGCTTGAGGCCGGTCACACACGGCCTTTTTATGAACGGTTTTTTGAGTATTAGCTCCGTTCTTAAAGGCCCTTAGTGGGCACCCCAGGCAGGGCGAGGTGTGACATTTGTAGGGTCGACCTTTACTAACCCTTCCTTCCTTGTTAGAAGGCAGTATCGCTGCAGATGCTGGTTGTCCGATGGAAACACCTTACTGCTGTCACACTTCTCTGCAGTCAGCAGTACGACTTCGCCCTCAGATCTTTGGTAGCTGCTTTTAGTCTCATCGTTCTCCAATCGACCTGCCTGGCATGGTAGGACCTGCAGGAACATAAGTTCCAGCCAATATAGCTCGGTCGGGTCATCACGATAGGCAAGCCCGACCACCACGTCAAGGTAGCAGCTACGGCCGGGACACCAAGTAAGACTATGTTGTAGTGTGCCGATAACTGCGTGTTCTTAAGCTCGGTTTATAAATCAGAAGATGAACTCATATTGATGAATACGTTTATTCGAGGCACACCACAAAGCGAAGCGGAGAAGCGAATTGGAGAAGGCTGTTGAGCCAACTCTTTGGATTACAATGCGAGCGAATGGGCGAAGCGAATAGGAGAAGGCTAAGAGCCAACTCAAAGAGATAGAACATGACTAAGAATATATAGTCAGATAAAAATAAGACAGACATGTGACAAGCGAAATAGGTATGCACACATATGAATAAAAGCGACGAATGATTGACAAGGTCAAAAGCAAGCGATACAAATCATGTGAGTTCATGGGAATATTACGAGATTAACATTAAAGTGAAAAGGATGAGTAAGTGCGTAAGCGTAAGCAATGCTCAGTCGTATAAGCTCATACAAACCAGATAATAAAAAATACCAACGGTACATATGAGTTGTTGCTATGCAAATAGCTTGGTTACATAAATTAATCAAAAGGCTTAATCAAATTAAATATGAACGAACTCAAGTTTATGTGGAGGCACTACAATGTCATCGGCATATTCTAGGTCAGTAAGACATTTTCTGGTAGAAAGTCGACTCCTGAAAAGTCGGACGGAGATGATGTTTTATCTAGCAGCATGTCTATGATAAAATTCAACAAGAATGGGGAAAGTGGACAACCCTGATGGACACCAACACAGTTCGCCATAAGCTCTCACTCGACCTGTAGAGTTCGACTAGAGAGCTTGTATAGGGTTAACGTACTTCTTTGGTACACCTTTCAATGACAGACACTGCCACAGAACCTCACGAACCACAGAGTCAAATGCCGCCTTAAGATCCAGGAAGACAACTATTGTAGGACGCCTAAATGTATGCTTGTGTTCGAGGACCTGTCGTAGTGTGAAGATGTGGTCTATACAGCCACATCCAGGTCTGAAACTAGCCTGGTTTTCTCGAGTCTGCTCTTCATGGGAACTAGTTAGGCGTCTAAGTATAATCGAGGCGAACAATTTAGATACTATATTAGTTAGACTGATTCCCATGTGGTTGCCACAAGAAGACTTTTCCTTTCTTATAGAATGGGACAATCAGTGATTGAGACCAGTCGGATGGGATTGTGTCCAGTTCGCAGATTCTACCGAAGATTTCAGGCTGGACCACCATCCTTAAATATCTCAGGAGTCAATCTATCGGGTCCTGCTGCTCTCTCTCGCTTCAGATTTCCTATAGCCTTGTGGGGTCCAATTATCTGCGTGTTCGGATAGCTCGGTAATTAACTCATCTAGACAATCGTCACTAAGTAGCGTCTGACGGTTTATAAATCAGAAGATGAATTCGAAGTATGAATACGTCTATATTTTGGACACACCACATAGCGAAGTTGAAAAGCGGTGAAAGAATGAGCGAAGGAAACGAACGAATAAGCGAAGCGCATTGGAGAAGGCTAAGAGCCAACTCAAAGAAATAGAGCATGACTAAGAATATATAGTCAAACAAAAATAGACAGACACGCAACAAGCGAAATAGGCACACATGAACAAAGCGACGAATGATTGACAAGGTCATACGACACGTCATGTGAGCTCATACAAACCAGACAATAATAATAATAATGGTAAATATAAATTGTTGCTACGCGAACGGCTTGGTTAAATAGATTAATCGAAAGGGCTTAACCAAGTTAGATGTAAGCGAACTGGAATATATATGGAGGCACTACAGCCTTTTCAATTTCATAAAGGTTCGGAGGGCTTACGTCGACTTGCCATTCAGGATGACTGGAGATCGTGGGTAACCAAAGTGTGGCTGAAAGCCAGTTGAACTGATCCCTAAAGTGTTCTGCCCATCGATCCAGTCTCCTGGATTGAGAATGGATAACAAGACCATCCTTTTCCGAAATAGTCTCACTTACATTAGGGTTCCTAATACCAGTGTCATAGTATTTTCAGTCAAGTGATTCTTTATGAGACTTTAAAGTGTGATTTGTGTGTATTAAGAGGGCTAGGAAGACTGTATTTTGTTACAAGGAGAAACAGATATAAAATATTCTTTTAGTATAAATAATAAAATAATTCTTTGTGTCCGTATGCGCGTAGAATGGTACAGATGAAGAACTGAGTCAAACGTGGTTGTTGGAATGAACAGTTCAGGTTGGATGAATATTCAGACCTTCCTTCCTATTGAGTTGCTTCGGCTACCCGTCCCTCTTTATAGTTTTGATATTTTTAGTATGGATTTGAAACATTTCACGGTATATATTCAACAGGTAATCTGAATATTATACTATTATGAGCAGAAATAACCTTTATGTTTTCATCGGTCATTTTTATATTTTCGACACCTCAAAAGCTCCCAAGCTTATATATTACACCAAGTCATGATAGTTCGTAAGTAGGGAAATATAAGTCACTTGAAATGTTTAGCATACTTTAGTATGTTACAAGCCAGACATACATAGTATCGTTTTATACTTTAAGAGTTTAGTATCACGTGGACATACTACTGTCTATTACATATAATACGCAATTATTTTAGCCACCTTGTCTCTAACCATGAGAAATGATAATATGTTTCACAAAAACTGAATAAAATACTTTATTAATTTTCATATCAGTGACGATAAAATTCTTGTAGATATAAATAAAAGTATGTAAATGATGAGAATTTCACAATGAGTTACAAGAAAAGAAAGCAGTAAAAATACAAACGAATCGAGAAATATATGGCAAAACAGACAAAATAAAGTGAAAAAGTAAAGACAAATGCAATTGGACATCCGTATATCATCTGTCCATATGTTCAGGTAGAGGAGAAAAAAAAACCAGTTGATAAGTATACACAAAAGCAGGAAACTATGAATAATCAAGATAATGAATAAAAGAGAAAAAGCAATAAACAAAAAAAAACCATGTTAGCCAGATCTAGAATTAATGACCTACTGAGATATATATATTTAATAACTATTAAAATGTCTATAACAACAATTGTCAACTTAAATAATAAAAGAAACACGAACGAATTATACAAAAACAAAATTATCAACAAACCTGTGAAGAATTAAATGTGATTGTTCAACAAACAAGTTTTAAATAGAGGAGCTAATTAGAAAAAAAACATTAAGAACCTAAATTTTCTAGAGTATTTTCTTGGATATTGTTGAATACACATTGTGATGATAAAATATGTTCGATCAATTGAATATACGGCATTAAATTCACTTTGAATGTGAGAAAAACACACAGTATTCTGCAGAGTTCATACTTGAAGTCAGAATGATTGGTAAAAATTGATGGATCTCGTGAAATACACAACTTATTGATGAAATCCACGAAACAGGTTGGTAATTGTTGAATTAGTGATTGATCTATGCTTGAAATTATTTCATTTAGTTGATTCCCAAGTGATTTAAGTAGTTGTTCCAACTGAACCTATGAATGAGAATAAATGAAAACTGGGTGCTATAAAATATTGGGTAAACTAAACTCCACAGGCAAACAAAGAAAAAACACAAAGTAGCAAAACACTTTGAATAAAAATGAAGATCATTCAAGCTAACTCTTTTTTGCGAAAATGATTTAAAAAGTGTCCGACTTACTGATGTTTTTTCGGTTTATAGATGGCTATAATATATTTATGCACTCAGCGCACACGCAATGCAGACAATAAGACTTGGAATTTATGTTGGATTCCATTTTCAATCACTAGGATAAAGTTCAGAAATTGTTATGGAATCGGTGTTGAGCACTACATGCTAAATTGGAGGTTCTCAATAAGAAATTCAATTCACAAGATGGTGAGTTAACGGAGTGTCGAGTGATAATTACAAAATTGTTGTCATCTTACATATACAAAATGTAATGTTATGGAATACTCCAATAACATTAGTCTTACATTTCAATGTCACTAGGGTTCAAAACTCGTATAAGAAGTAGTTTTGGAGTATAATAACGCGTAGAACTAGAGAATTTTATTCAGTACATGAGAGATTTTATATTGAAATACGAAACATATTCAAGGATACGCTGCAATAACACATTTCAAATGCTAAACACAAGATTGAAAGTGATGGAAAGCCAGTCAGTTACAATGTAGGACTTCGTACGTACGTACATCAGTTCAAGTTGTGATACCACATTAGCACAGAGATTCAAATTTCAATTCAAATCCCATAGTGGTAGACGTAGTAGAAGTATTAGCGGTAATGGAGAAGATTGGGGTTCAGAGAAATTATTCAAGAAATTTAATCCAGTGAAATAAATTTCAAAAGAGAAAGGTGATGAGGAATTCAGAAGATTAGGTTTTGAGAGAAAACAAAGAATGGATGCATCTGTGCCATTGTAAACGATTTCGAGCCATGTTATTCAAAGTCTTTAACCATCGGTTACTATCGTCTCGCGAAACCCCAACCATGCAACCTACACCTACTAAAATGGCTTAGTCCATGTGTCAAGGTGACGGAAAACTGGAGGCTAACTGAATTTAAAATACGTAGTGTTTATTGGTATATCAGTACATAGAAATTAGATTCGTCAAGAACACATGAAAGCTTACCAAATACTCTTGAATTTGATTGAGACAAAGTTGAAGGGCAATGGACACAGGACTACAGAGAAGAGTCAAAATGCCATAATTTCCACAGTCCTTTTCATCAGTTAAATCAACAACTTCTTCATTGTTCACACTAGATGAGGTAGAAATGGACCAGTGATGTTCAAAACGTACAAGCCAATCAAGTGTGGGATATACTGATAGATCTTTCGAGCACAATGAACATAAATCGCATGGATTGTTTTCAGAGATCTACATTGTAAATGGGATAAGATGTAAAATATAATTTAAAAAAAAGAAAATAAAATGTTAAGAAGTTCAATGAGCTAGTGTTAAGTTTTGAAATTAAACAAAACAAACATATTATGTTAATGACATATAAAACTGTTATTTAGTTAAACTATACAATCCAGTTGATTATTTTAATCCAAATCTTGATTTAATCGAAGCTCAAAAAAATCACCTCAGTAAAAACCCACTAATTTCACAGTACCTTACTACTCTACATGAAACGAAATTGGCTTCTTATTCATTAATATTCAATTATCTTTACAAAAACAAGTAACTATAATTTGTGATAGGATCAGTATGAGAAGATGGAAGAAAGACGATTTATGAAATAATCAATAAGAGAAATGATCACAAAGCCTAGTACAACTTACAATTTGATCTGTAATGACTTTTGTGATTTTGAAGCGTTCGGAACACACATTACACGGAGTGTCTTTTGTAAACATATTTTTAAGTGTTGATGATATATAATCATAATGATCCTTTGTTTGTTGTTTATATACAGACTAAAAGATTGAAAAAAAAGAACAAAATTCAATATGCTGAAAAAAAAACTGAAATTCATATTAAAACCCGGTAGAACTACTATTAATATATTAATTACAATATTTTCGAAACCACAAAGATCACAAAGAAGGATAGGAAAGCTGTTTCATCTCACTATAGTACTACTCAGTAGTGTATATTCACCAGCTCACCACCAGAGATCTAACCTGCGACTTTCTGACTAGTGTGAGACCGATTAACCTATAGACGACTGAACTCAGGTAACTGTGCACAAGTCTAACTTAGATCAGTGCACGAAAGAAAACATGACAATTGGAAACGCGTTTATTTGTTTCCCAGTTACGTTGAATGAATAAGTTATGTACTGTAAGTTGCATTCTTACATATTTATCACCATTACGTATGTTTGTATTTGCCATAAAATAATGTTTATCATTCTAGGGAGATAAATCAATCAATGCAAAGTGGAGGATAAAAAAAAGCAATTTAGAGTACCAACCGTCTACCAATTCTGTGAGCTAACTGCTAGGTCGAGAAACACAACAAGCTTTGATAACCTCAGGTTACTAAGCGATAATATAAAACTATACACAAAAAGTATAATTCGATACATAACATCTGATCATGTGATTAAAATTTATGATTGGCTGACTGACTAAACAAGAATATATCAAGTAGATAACCGGGATTTATTTGAACTAAAACCGATTCGGAATAAAAAGCCATCAAGTTCACAGAATTATTCATTTCATAAGTTTAATATGTGTAAACCAGATAATTTTAACACGGTGATAATGATTACAATACAAAGTATCGAAGTACTTGGAAACAGATAACATTAATCAAAAAAGATTCCAAAGAGAGTGAGAGATTAGATTACGGAGCTACAACTAAACAAGGTGAAAATCGATGAATGTAAATAGAAGATTAAAGTAACAAAGGAAAGCTAAAATAGACTATGACCGTACGATACCTTACTAAACAAGAATGATGAAGATTCACAACACCACAAATAACAGTAGAACTGATTGAGAAAAACAATAAATACTCATAAGAGAATATACGTCTATGAGACTATCGAACTTATCTCAATAACGAGAGAATAAAATACATTATTTGATATCATAGACTTTAGTGGGATTTCCAAAGTTGATTCTAATACTAAGATTTATATATTTAAAAAGCACTCCCAACAAATATTAGTTGCAAACTAGAAAATAAACTGTTGAAAAGTTTTTGATTTATCTGCTGAAGCTTAACGATAAACTTACAAGTGCACATTCATAACTGGATATGGAAGCTTCTTTGAATGACTGCAAAGCAAAAGACTTGTGATATTTCATTGAGAACCCAGGCAATAAAACCTGCAATAGCAAAATAAATCTGTTTAATAATTTTTCTAAACTAAACACAGTAAAAAAAAAACGTAAAGATACAGCTGTGTAACATTTTCCAGATATATTACTTACTTTTAGTACTACACTTTTATCTTTACAATTGTCAAATGATTTTACTCTTTGCTAAAAACATGTACACAGATGATTTTATAACTTTAATTCATTATCAATCCTTCAGGAAAGAATTGCGAATCGAGAGACCCATAGACAGCAAACATGGGATATTTCCATCAAAAAGGAAGGTTAGAGATATTTCTAGTTTTCATAAACTTTGTGTTCTTTATGAATGACATTAAAACAAAGGTGATTTAAATTTATAATTTATACTAGTCCCCTTATGATAAGCGCAGTCCCAGATCTGAACATGGTACACACTAACCTCCCAAAATGACTACCGCAGTGAACAGGCAAGAGCAAAAGATAGTCTGTTTGGCTGGCTACAGAATAGGATACACAAATACTTGTCTACGTATAACTATTCCACATCCTGGGAAAATAAAACTAATTCTTAACCAATGGTATGTATTCGTCATTTAGAACATTTTCTGATGGTCATCCAACGGTCTTCTGATTTGGCCACTTCTGGTTGACCCATAACATCAGGTTCTTGCATTAGCATACAGCTTTTACTACTTTTCGCTTTGCACTCCACAAAACTGCAAAATATTAATAATCTTAAAAATGGTATAATTGGTTATCGCAGTTTCACGACGAACACAAAAGCCAATAATTTGTGTAGTTAACTTCTTTTTCATGACAATGAGTTCTAGCAATCAAACTACCAGTTGTTTGGATTTAAGTTAAAACGCGTCCTGAAATAATGTCATTTTCGTATGCTACATCTTTATACATTCAAAAGGAAAAAAAATTGTGCACTTTGATATGTAAGACGAATATTTTAATAGCGTTTAAACGAAAAATTATTTTTTGAATGCTTATGGTCAAACCTTCAGAGTTTATCGTTAGAAGTACGAGAAATGGCAACCGTTCTTTATGAACCTCATTAAACCGCTGGATTTTACCTCACGTTTCTGTAGAATGTCTTTAAATTTGATCAGAAATACTAGTGGTCCAGTTAGGACATTTACTAGATAGACCACTACTACATATAAACAAGTGCTTTCAATTACAAATAGAATTAGGCTAATTGCTTAGTACAATATGAATGCTCAATTTAACAGGTATGAAGTGAGCTGAAAACGCCCGCTTTTAGACAAGAAAAGTATAGTTAACTTTTTTATTTTCGTCTTTCAAATTGTTGAGAATGATTATTGGAATGCATGCGAAATTTAACTTTGGCAAGAACAAGAGTTTTCTGGATTAATTATAAGATAAACTAGAAAAAAATCTCTATGCATCATGATCGTTATCTACAATAAATATTATTAGTTTATAATGGACATTTGCACAAATGTATAAATCTACTGACAATAAGCAGTGTTCGATAGATTCTGCAATGTAAACATCGTAATAAACATTTATTTTCTTTGAGAACCTTCGAATCGATGTTACGAAAAAGTGAAAATTTTGATTGAATTTAAAAGAGTACGTAAAGTCACACTAAACACACCTCTAATAATGAATCAGTTTGTACATTATGTGCAGGCAGATGATGATGAGAAAGAAGTTTATCATACAAATCAGATATAGCACGCTTTGTATTGTTAACATGATCATTTAACATTGACAACTGGCGATCTAATGCGTCCGATATAACAATAATTTTCTGATGAGCAGTAACAAAACTTGGTGAATGATCCGAATCTGAAGGTGATGAGAAGAAATGACCGAATTCACATAAGATTTCCGCCTACGGTAAAAAAAGGAGTGAGTTAACAATTAAAACAATACGAGGTAACAAACAACATATAAACAAGGCAACTGAAAAATATTCATTGTAAATGTTTATTTGCAGAAATTAGATTTCAACTTTGCACTAGCGATTTTAACACTTGGATATTAGATACAAAGTAATCAAAGTATTAGGATTATATGGACTTGACCAGAAAAGGATAATCGGTCACATGAACTAACATACTAAAATTTCGATTCATTATTGGGAAACAAAATATGGGACAAAAGCATAGTTTATTGACGAAAATTACAGGCTGTCAACACCGTGAAATTTGAGTAGAAATCAACAGTGAATAAAATTTACAATACAATAGCCTCTTGGATGTGTTTGTCTTCGTTCATTAGCCTGTCATATTTTACTACCACTGAAATCGATAATTCAAAAAGAAACGCTTTTAATTTAGTACATTAACAGATATCAAACACTGTCAAGGCAGGACCATTGGGGGTGATGGCTATAGTAAGCATAACTAAGTTTGCAAGATGATCTACGGGTTAGAGAAAAGATAATTATCCACTTAGTCAGTAATTATTAACTTCTAACAATCTTTAATAATTATTCAACTGTTATGATGACCTTAATGTTTTTCATTTCTTCTTTGTATCTGTTATGTGGACAGTTATCTCATATCTCATATTTCTGATCCGTGAATTATTTCCACCCTTAGCCTTTGGATTATTAAGCAACCTTTCTTTGGTACCTGGAATCTCAATTCACTGTATTATATAATATCTCACTTTTCTTCTATAGATGCATTTATCTATGAAAGTAATATAAATACAAATGTACAACTTAGTATGTCTCGAAAATGAAAGAGAGGTGAGAAATGAATTAACGGAATAATAGTTATACTTAAAAGAATATGATAATGTTGATCGATAAGCTGTCAGATAAGGAAGACTGAAAAAGGTGATGAGCGTTGAAGAATTAAGATGGTCGGTTACCAGCTTATTTATGTATTTGATTGACAATTCGGTATCACTTGATCAACAACTCTATGATATAAGGTGAAGACTATAGTCATAGTACAATATTTATCACTTAATCTTACCAGTATCACGTTCATCAATTAGGAAAACATTAAAAAAGGTCTGTAGATGAGCTTGATAAAACCATTAAGGTCAGAGAAATGAAGCATAACAAGGTATTATTACACAAAATAAAAACTAATGAACTCACTGCAACCAAACATGGTTTACTTCTTGAACTACAATAATCCTGTGAACACAAATTTATTATGTCATCGATATGTCCTTTTAAAAGTGTTTTTAATTGAGCGATATCTTCAGATGCAATAACAGAATGAGTATCTACAATGTTATTGAAATAGCGTTCATCTAATGTCTCATTAAGCTTAGGTTCATCTGTCGGTGATATCTGTCCATGAACAGCTGTAAGGTGATTGATTCCCAGATTTTTTAATTGGTACAAAGTATTTTCAATTTCTTGATACATGGTCGACCTGTTTTGATATATATACACAGAAATAAAATATGTTTAGAATAGAAATTTCTTAACACCGTAATACAAATGAGAGACAAATCCAGTTGCAAAATACAGTAAATCAATGAGCATCTTTTAAAATACTTAGCGCAAAACCGGTTGACATCACCACATCACAAAATATTGAGTGAAATGTGATTTTATCAATACAAAAATCAATTAATTACTATAGTCAGAAATAATTTACCTTGAACTGCTGAGAATCTCCGTTAAAACACCAACTAGGGTTTCAACTTGTACACCTAACTGAGTTAGATTTCCTAAAGATGTGTGCATTCGAGCGAGTACAAATCTCATAATCTGAGTTAAAGCAGTGTCCATATTGCTAACATTAGTGCTGGACGCTGAAGACGGAGAAACTGTTTGATTGTTTCGGATAGACAATGAAATAGAAGATAATGAATGGGATACTTTTGAGTGAGATTTTTTACTCGAGGTGATTGCTGTCAGCCGTGAAATAATTTCCTCACCGAAAACCAAGTACTTTCGAAGATGAGGCAATGACCAATATGTATTTTTATTGTTATCATGTCGACCATAAATACAGAGCCATCTCAATGCGTGGCGTAGCTAAAATGAAAGAAGATATACAGTGAGAAATATAAGGTGAAATAAAAACTCAGTAGACATAGGCGTGACAACAATTATGGAGAAAACTATGAAATTTGTTGAAAGTGGTTATATATAGAAAAATTATTCTATAACTTCTTAGGAGATGAACAAATTTAAGATGAAACGGCTTCAGAAAGAAACTGACAAATGTTTCTTGTTACTACGGTTGAAGAACTTTTTCAAAGCTGTATAGTAGTCGAATTACATGAGTACCAGAACTCACTGAGGCAACAGGTAATCTGTTGATTAACATGTGAAGTATATGTTTAAAAATGGTACACTAGTATTATTAATGTATGATACATAACATTCAACTACTTATGCCAGAACTTACAAGATTAAGAGAATTCCATTCCGATACACGATACACATACATTGGGAATTCATTTCGTAATTTCTCTAGAAAATGGTCAAGGATAATTAAAGCTTGATCATCGGTTGAGAAAGTGTGGAAATCGTTAGGAAGAAAATCTGCACTAATACCAACATTGGACAAATTATCTGATATTGAAAAACTGGTAGAAATACTTCGAGTAGCATTTGTTAAGATTAAATTGCATAGTAGATTAATAATATCACGAGCTGATTGATGCCATGCTGTTAACTGATTCAACAGTCGTTTGACCATTTGTACTGATGGATCGTCAAAAAGATTGAGAGGATGTTGTTGCTCACATGACTCCATAAGTCGAATTAGATCATATTCTCGGGGACTAGAAATTCAGAGCAAAAGAATAGAATAGAAATAGTAAAATGTTAGAGAATCCCTAAGTCGAAATTAGAACAACAAACAATGTTGTTTTCAATTAAATTGTTATCAGACTTGATAAATCAAAATCCTACTGAGTTTCAACCACTAATTTAACGATTTTACGTGGATGACATTAAAATATCTGTGACTTAAAGTTATTATTCACACTCTTTTCAGCACTTTCCCTCAATATACTCTTCAAACCTTTCACCAATAATATTGATAATGATATTATTGATTAATTGTCATAGGTTAACCCTTGAGAGTTTTAAAGATGGTGGTCCAGTTTTAGCAGTGAGACTGACTGCGATCTGGAAATTGAAAGCAATCCTATATGATTGGCTTCAATCGCTGTTTGTCGCGGTCTATAAGGGAGGACAAACGTCCTCTTGCGACGATCACAGAGGAATCAGTTTAACTAATATGGTGTCTACATTGTTAGCCTCGATAATACTTGGACGCCTAACCGGAGCTCGCAAAGAGAAGACTAGAGAAAACCAAGCTACTTTCAGACCTGAACCTGGTTGCATAGACTATATGTTTACACTTCAACAGGTCCTAGAACATAGAAAACTGTAGTATTCTTGGACTTGAAGGCGGCGATTCGTGGGGTTCTATGACACTATCTGTCATTGAAAGGTGTACCAAAGAAGTACATTAACCTTATACAAACTCTCTACTCTAACACTACTGGCCGAGTCAGAGCTTACGGCAAAATGTAATCGGAGTTGATTACTTCAAGTTGTGTCCGTTAGCGTTGTTCACTTTCTTTATTCTCATTTAACTTTATTACTGGCATGCTTTCAGAGACGACACTTTTAAAGGTTATTAGTATTCGATGATAGATGTCTTCGAGGCATTGCTCGTATATCCTGTACCAAACGAGTGAGCAATGCTGGTGTTAAGAAATGAGTACTAGGTAAGGACGGCAATTTAATAGACGAAGTAGTGAATCTTAATCAGTTGAGGTGGTTGGGACATGTGTTACGAATGCCCAATCACCGACTGTCTCGACGAGTAATGTTTTGTGGTGTAGGAGTAGGTTGGAATAAAGCTGAGGGCGGCCAAACCAAAACATAGCACAAATCCATGAAATCACTATTGTGGACTGCGATGTGGCTACTCAAAATTCTACCTATTGACCAACTACAGATATTCCAGTACGACCGCCACTTCTGTTCACCAAATCTCCAATATATCAGAACACAAAACCTTTTTTACATGTTAAATGTTTATAGGGTCAGAAGAAGTAATCATTGACAAGAGGACTGAACTATATTGGTAGTTGTAGACTACTTGGTTGAGGTCCGCGAGATGATAGGAACTGATGGTTAGAGACTTTGATTGACATGGCTCAAAATCGTTTGTGATGGCGCAGGTGCATCCATTTTTTGTCTCCTCTCAAATTGTAACATTCTTCATTACCGCTAATACTTCCACTACCTCTACTATTATGGGATTTTAATTAACAATTGCCTCTGCGCTAACTTGAACTGGTGTATGGACGTACGAAATTCTACAATGTAGCTGACTGACTGACTAACTGTCACACTCTAAATTTTTAGTAAGAAAAAATTGTTTTAATTTCAGTCCCAACTTTTAGTTTTTAAATGTTGTCTCTAAGACAGCAGACATAACCATTTAGGATTACATCAATTCAACGAAAAAATATCAGACAAATTAGAAATTTGTCAGTGGATTCGAATCAGATTTCCTGTCTTTAAATTCAACGAAAAACAGTCTATGAGTTCATCCGGAGTCACGTAGTTACGATGTAATTTGAGTGAGAAAAAGTAATTTAATTCGGTTCAATCCAACGACCAAGTATTGATTCATGTACAAAGATACAAGCCATAGCTTTTAAAGTGAAGACTAGTGAAATTATTCCGTTGACAAAACTGAAGTAGAGAAATATTTGAAATTGAAATTCGAGAGTTAGAAACTATGGGATAGATTGCCAAGTCACTACACTGACTTTAGGAAGACCTATCTGACAGTTTGATTATTGGGAGAAGTAGAAAAGTAGTAAAATCCGACACTGCATTACATGATAATCCAATTGATGTGTAATTTATTATCCAATTGATGAGACTGACTGTAAGCAGTTTCTGTAGGCCAGTAATTACAATTAAGAGTAGTTACAAAAATCACATTCAGTTAATCTGTTATTGATTAAAAAATGTGAATTTATTGAAAATTTCAATAATTTCCGTGTTCTCTGAGTTGAAGTTATCATGAGAAATCGATATGTACTTATGAAAATGGATGTTGATTTAAATTAGTTAAATGTTTGAATTTAATTGATAAGACTGATCAACAATAATTTGTTTTTTTTTAAATACAAATGGTTTATTATACTATACGTTAAAATGAGATGTTTCGAAAAAATACACACTTACTTGTTGACATCAAGTTCATGATTGAGTACAACGTATCCATTATTTGAAGGTAATTTGACGATTTTTTGTGGTGTCGCACACCCGTTACTTGAAGAAGTCGCCACAGTGAAAGTAGCAGGACGTCTGGTTTGAAATTTTACAGGATTGACAGTAGAAGACATGCTTGTTGATGGGTTTTTGAACTTATCAATGCTCTCGGTACCAATAATAGAAGGTTTCAACTTGACACATATTTGTTGAAGATGTCTACCACGATCTAGTATCGCCTTAGCATCGTTATAGATGTCATCAGTATGATACCCGGCAGTCTTACCCTCAGCTAACTTTAACTGAAATCAAAAATAATGGAAATCAATGTTATTAAGGTATAAAACGCTACAATTATGTTAAAATAGCTGCTTAAAAGAAAAGACGACCGGAAGTTCAAATGGAGGTCAGTAGAATGGTAGACAAGGAAATGCTCTGAAAATGTTAGTTTACTAAGATCACTTCATTCATTAATTCCATCATGGCATGTTAATTATTTATGGATATATACTTTCCGGAACCTGGATAGCATTCATTCAACAACTCAAGTGATAAATTAAACCATACCTACATTAACTTATAAACTAGATAGATTCATGTGCTACTTAGCTCCTAGCCATAATTTTTAAGAACGAAGCATAGTGATACTACCCAGTTGCCCAAACCGAAGGTGGAGTTGGGTTTGAACCAGCGACTTGTTGACTGACGACCAAACAACTTGAATAGAAATTAATGCTTTTCCATAAACTGATTAAGTACATGCTAATGGTTTTTAACAACACAATAATATGTAGCTTTACAGTATGACTGATTCCTATTATCTGAAAATTATAGGAATATCATTTTTCTTTTATTCCAGGGAACTAAAATTAATAGTTACTTAAATTCGATAGGATGGATTTATTTTTCATTGAATGTGTTTAAGTAAGAACCTGATCTGTGAAATTTTGGTTTCTGTGCAATTTGTACGATTTAAAATATTAAATACCAGTCTGTGGGTCATATCTAATTAGCTTCTTGACGACTGACATGTGTTTGCATCTTTGTGCAGTTACCTATAAAAACAGAGATATTGCAAGAATCTGAATGTTTTTATCTACACATACAGTTGTTGAGTTCAATGAAATATTTCTTGAAACTCTTGTTTTTCCTGTCCAATCTGTCAACAAGAGTAGAAAAAATTTCACAGACAAATGAGATACTCTACCAGGTAAAGTAACACAGAGATATTTAGTTATCCATTCACAAAACCGGATAAGTATTTCGCTGGCTGTCGATAGTATGAGTGAAGTTAATTTAAAACTATCACTAAATCGCTATTAAATCTAAACTATTAAACCCTGACAAATTTACGAAATGTGCTAGGAGAGACATTCACCCTATGAAGATGACTTCAAAAAACAAAATATGTCCAACAAACTTAAAATTTATGACTAATTGTATCAATGCTTGAACCAACAACATGAAATTTCATTTATGAAGCATAAATAAGACAGATTACGACTTGTCACAAGGTTTGGCAAATTATTTTACTATGCGATGCCTTAAATTATATTAATTTCATACTAAAGAATATGAAGAACATAAAACCAGTTTTATGATCTTATCAATTACCTCCAATTCCACGAGAGTCATAGTACCTGTTGAGTTGTTAGATTCTATAACACATGTCAAACCATGATTATCATTAGCTTCTTGTTTAATAAAGTGATTGCTTGAGGAATTTGAATCATGAGGTTTAATTAAAATGGATAATTGATTTTTCCATGCATAAAAATGGGCTAAACGATCAGCTAAGCATTTTTCTAAACCACATAGTTCCTCAATTGAGTAATGGTAGTTAAGTACAAAAACTGAAGGTGGACATTTTTTGCACAATTCAGATACATGTTTCAGACAAACCATATGGCTAGGATATCGTTTTTCCTCTGTAAAGGATAAGGAAGAAATATGTTTTTAAATAATACATTAGAACACAAGTATCAAGTTTGTCTAAATAAAATTTAGAATATCATCAGTGTAACATAAGTGTGCGACTTCGTGGAAGCATTTAAAATATTTTATTTAAAAAGAAATGTAATTAAACTTATACACTTATCCACTCTTCCCAAAATGCTTTCACATGATCACACGTATACAGCCACTGCTAGGGAAGTTTTATTCACTGCCTACTCGTGGCGCGGGTATTATTTACGAAACTGAGGAGTTGAAAAACCCCAATTCCCAATCACTGATACACATAGGCTCCAGGACCCTGAAGGAACGAATAGTCTATGAATCTACTGTTGGTCACCGGCTACCGTTAGACCGCATCATCTGACGTTGTATATGAGACCATTAGGTCAGATTTGTAGCGCATAAATAGTTTAGTATCATTTTAAACCAATTTGTGTGTTCAAATAAAATAAAAACCGATTGTCATCGTCACTACAAATAGCATAGTAGTAGAGGTAGAGACGCATCGGTAGATCGAAACTAATAGGTTCAGGTTTGTGCGATCATGAGTGAGAGATCCGGTCAAACGGCTCAGAATCAATCACTGTGGCGCAAGTTACTAAAACGAAACGTAAAACCTGGTATATATGTGTGCATTGGTTCAAGCTGTCATATACCATTATTTTAAGAGCCTTTATAAAATTTTATTCATCGGTTATCAGCCAGAAAGATTACAATCAGGAACAAAAAAGATAGTAAATAAGGAAGCGTAGACCAAAAACGTACCTCCATTAAATGACTCATCTGACATCTTGCGTTTTCGTGCAGTGACATTAAGGTTATCCGAAGAATGGTCAGTTAGATTTTCTAATCCTTCAATACTGGTATTCGATTCATAAATACACGAACAACTAACTCCAGATAAAAAAAGAGTAGTCAGACAAAAATCACAAACACGTGAATCGTCTGTCATTTCGTCGAATCTCACTTTTCTCGAGGTTGACACACCACTTTGAGTAACTAATTCTCGTAAATACCGTTCTTCTTTAAGGACACAAGCGAACTCTTGATGCACAATAGCTACAGCACCAATGTCAAGACCTGCAGTAGAGCAACCGGGAGGTAGTTTTTCACGGATATCAGATTCTGGATTTTCTGAGCCCTCACCACTTGAAATACCGCTATTAACAGGATTTGTTACAGTGAGTATTTCTTCTGGAAGAATATTTCCTACAGCTACTTCAGCCAAAGTACACAATAGTTCATCGTTTGAAAACACACAATGTCTTTTGATATCAGCATAATGTTCAATACAAGCACGGCCAATAGGAAGCTAAGAAATGTAACATTTAAAAAAAATATAGTTGATGAATCATAAATTAGGATCTATTAATAGTAACAGTAAGTTATTAATGTATGAAGCTATTGCTCCAAATGAAATGAATATCGTCAATGAGAACACAAAAAATTAAAAAGTGATACCAATTATTCATTCAATTTAATCATACTAAGGTAGTGGGAAATGAGATACAGTAAGAAACATTACAAACTATGATAATCATCTCGCATTTTAAGATGCTTTTGTTCAAAATAAGCAATGATTAAACTCAGTGAGCTAATATACAATTTTCGGTTACAGAGATTAGATTTGACAAGCATGAACCAGAAACACACTTAAAGTAGCCTATTACGCCAAACCTATCAGTATAAAAATAACGTCTCGGTGAAGCTAATGATGACTCCAACGTAACAATCTAACAGGAATTGGGAGAATGGTTTGAAGAATACTGAAGAATACAAACCATTCCAATGGCATCCGAAGAACTGAAAAAATCTGTGACTGGTGGTTTAAATCTAACTGTAGTAGTGCAAATGAGTTCGCACCTAATTCTCTTATCAGTAGTGGCATCCTACTGCCTACTAACACTTGTTTTTGAGATTACTGCTGCTGTTACTATCAGTTTATACACACTGACTTTTTAATCTTATTGCAAGAGCAACTAAAGGGATTTTTAAAGATGACTAGGCTTTTTAACCATACGATAAAGTTTTTGCAAATGTGATTTGAAAGATCAAATAGCTGATAAGGAATGAACTCACCCAATCAGGTAGACATATGTTAACAGCCTCGGCAAAATTGAAGCCTTGATTGAATCCAGCATGATAAGCGCGTGGAAACGTTACGACAAACTCTCCGCAGTGTTGATCAGTACGATAAATTGGGACACCTTCTGCTTGTAAAATATTTGGATTTATGTTGGTAGTAATGTGATGCAGTAAATCTGGAGCTTGATCAAAAAGCTCTGTGGCGTGCTTTTTCATAGCACGTTCAAAATCATCTGCATGTAAACGGGATACACCATACCAAGTTTTCGGTTCTCCCCTATTTTAAGATTCACAAAAAAGATGGTCATAATGTATAATTTTAATAAAAGTTCTAGGCACTATAAGCAGAAATAATTTTAGCTACAATGAATAAGAAAACAGAGCGAGCGGTAACGTGAATATAAAATGAAATAATGCTTAGTTGTTAAGATATAATAGAGGGATGAACGGTTCACTATAACTGAAAATGAGTTTATGAGGATTTAGTGGTAGAAAAATACTCCTAAATTATCAGCTGTAGTAAATAATCGCTTTAAATAGATCTCATCATTAATAAACTGACAGTTAGATATGTGGTCTAACAGCATATACACCTTGAAATGATAGATTTTATGCTTTTTCTACCCAGACTCAGTGATAATAAAAAGTGTTTGGTGTAAAAACTTGTGGTAGCCTTGGTGTCAAGTTCACTAGTGTTTTAAAATTACACCAAAAACTGCATAATAGTTTTGAAATTGTCCAAACAGGCGGTAAAGGACCATCAAGGAAGTACCATGAATCTAAATGATAGATACAGAATGGTACATGAATAAGTGACTAGTAGTTTTTATAACTAATACATATTGACATATACATACAGAATCTTGAGCACAAAATAGGAAGTCCTGTAGCCTAGACCTGTGAATCTAATTAAAGACATGATAGATAAACTCAAATTCACCAATGAGCAAAGTTTTATAAGTTAAATTTATATCAGTTAGCAAAAACTAATTTTAAACTAACCAATGATTAAAATTGATGGAGTAGCTCCAATGATCTTCGATGTGCCAACAGAAGCTCGAAAAAACCATGCCGACATAGCACCAAGGGATCTTCATGCCGTCTATGTTTCCTTTAATGAACCTCAAGACTGATCTATTAATCGTCAAAAAATCACAACAGTAATTATTGTCTAATATTTACTGAGTACTATGTACATACTTACCTAAGCCTGTTACCCATAATGGAGCATAGGGCACCGACCAGTATAATACTATGTACATATAATAAAAGATTTAACAAAATATAGTAGCTTATAACACTATCAACTTTTCGGAGGTCATGTTTATCACAAAATGAATCTCATGCATTTTTTTGAATTTCCCAAAGTTGATTGTGTCGTGTGGAAGTCAAAGTTCAATCAGTTAGTTTTTTGCTTAATACTCTAGGTCGACAATATGACAAATGGTAAAATCAATCTATGAAAATTCAGTTAAAGAATTCTCTAGATTTCCTACAAAATTAGTAGGGATTCCTTAGAACAGATAAACTGAACGGCCGGATAAATTTCAAGTAATAAGCTTCTGAATGAAAGCAAATAAAGAAATCAGAATAAAAATGGAAATGAAATACAATATGATCTAATATACACAGAAAAGTTCTGAATTACTCATTCATACAATGACGCATTGTTATTAGAAAACATGTTATACACATTCAGTTAAATTTTAATTTGTCACTTTGTATGGCATAAGCGGAGAAAACCATTATATTTAACTATAAATTCCAACTCAAATGAATGGGATCTATTGAGTAATAAACACAAACATTATCTAATTGATTGGACAACAGGATGTGATATTAAGTTTGGATCTGCGACTTAATAAACAATTAGGTTACAAAACACAGTCATCGTCTTATTATGGAGTTAAGATAGCTATAAATACATGGATGTTGAAACTAATATCTAGAAAACAAACCGCGTTACTGTCTTTTGGGAATAAACCATCAAGGCTATTAGACTTACCGGTCTAACAAAGGTAATATGTTTAAGTTCCACGGGCTATCAGCGTACTTCTTTGCTTCTGCTAGTTGGGAAGCAGTACCAACTAGGTTTTTTAGCATTGATTTTGTTGGAAATCCTGACCCCTGAGAACTTGAATGAATATCAGCACCATATTCAACGACAACGTCATCATTGTATTCCTGTAAGATACGCCAGAATTCTCGTTCTACTTCAGCGCATGGAACATCCTGTTCAGAAAAAGGACTCGTGTTATGCGTCTGTTTACGTTAAAACTACTACTTATGGCAAATAATACTGAATTATCAATAAGTCTGTAAGGATAATACTTCACTAAACGTGTTAGTGAAATATATTCGATAAGCGTCTTAGTAATAGCTTATAAATTGGCCTTAAGTTAGAAAATCGTTTAAAAGTGTATCAAAAAACTTCAACAAGATGTGACAAAAAGTTGTGTAGGCAGTTTTGATGAGACCGAAACAATCTTTGCATATAACTAATTTTATACAATTTCTCTACAACAGCACGAAAATAAAGACGAGTTCTCTAAGAATACTACCTCAGGGCTAATTGTCAAAGTTTACCAGATCCAGGTAATCATAAACGATGATTCGAAAGTCATATTAGAAATATTCCCCGTACTGAGTCATAAATCAGCACTCCTTCCAGATTGTCAATGAATGTAAACAACCTGGGGTTAAACATCATAAGTTATCTCCTGGAAACAAAGTACAAGTGGATCTGAAAATGACTAGGGAATCTATAAGACTTGAATGACACTTAAAGGTGAAATACTAAACCGGATAAACAATAATATCATTTATGCATGACAAAAATAGTTTGTAGTGTGACACTAAAAATGGGCCAAATCGATGAGAGTCAAATAATAATACTAATAACTAAACCTTCATCGTTTATAGCATCTTGAGATGGGTGCATAGGGTTAGCGACCACATCATGTAGAAAATTAACCCGTTAAGAAAACGTTGACCAGAAAATAATTCTATTCACAACCTCAATAATATAATATGGAATTTGATTAGTTCACTGCAGCGTTTATTCACAATGCCACATGGATTTCACCGGACTACACTACTCAAAACCAAATTGACCATATCTGTATCAGCAAAACGTTCAGAAGGACCATGGAGGATGTGAGGAGCTGATAGAGCTTCAGATCACCACTTGCTGGTCGCCAAAATGAAACTGAAACTAAAGAAGCACTGGACAACGGGGCAGACAACATCACACAAGTATAATACAGCCTTTCTTCGGGATACCGTAAAACTAAATGAATTCAAGATAGCCCTCACCAATAGGTTCCAGGCCTTGCACGATATACTCAATGGAGAGGACGCAACATTGGAGAACAATTAGAAAGGGATTAAAGAGGCAATCACTTCAACATGTCACGAAGTTCTGGGTTACAAGAAGTACCATCACAAGGAATGAATCTCTGTTGGTAATCTTGCAAAAATTGAAGAAAGGAGGGACAAGAAGGCAGCAATCAATGTCAGCCGAACAAGAGCAGAGAAAGTTAAGGCACAAGCTGCACACACAGAAGCAAACAGGGAAGTGAAGAAGAGCACCAGCGCTGACAAACGAAAATATGTGGAAGATCTAGCAAGGACGGCGGAAAAGGCTGCAAGAGACGGAAACTTGAGACAATTGTGCGAAACAACAAAGATGCTCGCTGGAAACTATCGTAAACCAGAATGATCAGTGAAAAGCAAGGAAGGCAAAGTAATCAGCAACACTGAAAAACAGTGAAATAGGTGGGTAGAGGACTTTCAGGAACTCTTGAATCGACCAGCTCCACTGAACCCACCCAACATCGAAGCAGCATCCACGGACCTCCCAATTAATATTGGCGCACCTACAATTGAGATCAGTATGGCCATCAGACAAATCAAGAGCGGCAAATCAGCAGGACCAGACAACATTCCAGCAGACGCAATGAAAGCAGATGTAGAAGCAACTGCGAAAATATTTCACATCCTCTTCAACAAGATTTGGGATGAGGAACAAGTACCATCAGATTGGAAAGAAGGATACCTGATCAAAATACCAAAGAAAGGCGACCTGAGCAAGTGTGAGAACTACAGAGGCATCACTCTTCTTTCAGTACCAGGCAAAGTCTTCAACAGGGTATTGTTAAACAGGATGAAGGACTTCGTAGACGCCCAACTTCGAGATCAACAAGCCGGATTTCGTAAGGATCGATCGTGTACTGACCAAATTGCTACATTAGGGATCATTGTGGAACAATCAGTTGAATGGAACTCACCACTCTACATCAGCTTCATCGACTACGAGAAGGCATTCGATAGCGTGGATAAGAAAACACTGTGGATGCCTCTTCGACACTACGGTGTACCTGAGAAAATAGTCAACATCATACGGAATTCTTATGATGGATTCAACTGCAAAATCGTTCACGGAGGTCAGCTGACAGACTCTTTCGAGGTGAAGACCGGTGTCAGGCAAGGTTGCTTACTCTCACCCTTTCTCTTTCTCCTGGTCACCGAATGGATTATGAAGACGTCGACATCTGAAGGGAAGCACGGTATACAGTGGACAGCTAGGACGCAGCTCTTCTATCGCACACGCAACAACAAATGCAAGAGAAGACGACCAGTGTAGCAGCAGCCTACGCAGCAGTAGGTCTCAACATACATAAAGGAAAAAGCGAAATTCTCCGATGCAACACAACATGCACCAACCAAATCACTCTTGATGGAGATGCCTTGGACGACGGAAACACCTTTACATATCTGGGGAGCATCATCGACAATCAGGGTAGATCCGATGCAGATGTGAGGGCGCGGATTGGCAAAGCAAGGGCTGCATTTCTACAGTTGAAAAATATCTGGGACTCCAAACAACTTGAAACCAAAACCAAAATCAGGATTTTCAATACAAACGTCGAGACAGTTCTACTGTATGGAGCGGAAACTTGGAGAACTACCAAAGCCATCATCCATAAGATACAAGTGTTTATTAACAGTTGTCTACGCAAAATACTTCGGATTCGTTGGCCAGACACCATCAGCAACAACCTACTGTGGGAGAGAACAAAACAGATTCCAATGAAGGAGGAAATCAGGAAGAAGCGGTGGAAGTGGATAGGACACACATTAAGAAAAGCACCTAACTGCGTCACAAGACAAGCCCTCACATGGAACCCTCAAGGCAAAAGGAAAAGAGGAAGGCCAAAGAACACATTACGCCGAGAAATAGAGAAAGATATGAGAAGAATGAACAAACATTGGACAGAACTGGAAAGGGAAGTCCAGGACAGAGTTGGTTGGAGAAAACTGGTGGGCGGCCTATGCTGCACTAGGGATAACAGGCGTAAGTAAGTACTGCAGCGTTTAGCAAACGAGAAATTGAGCAGGAATAATCAGACATAATACATTTGAAGGTATTAATATGTTTAATGTGACTTCTCTTAAAGGGTTTGATTCGTTGAGACATGGATATGTAGCATACAGTCTCCTTCCACGGTGTGGACAGCCGGGAAGTGACAACCGCCCTCATACCCGTAACAGCACACGAGACCAAATTGGTCAAAATCAAATCCTTCCTACACCCCCTAATACCTCTTATCTCCACGACTAACTGTACTCACATTCCTTTATCACACTGCACAGCTAATGCAAACGATGTGAATTCACGAAACGTCATTTCTGGTATCCTGAAACCCAGCTCTAGACTAAATGTTGGAGATTTTAATGTACGGACATTGTGTCGAATAGGGCAACAGGCTTCCTTAGCTAAGACTTTAGAATCTCGTGCCATCGATGCATGCTGCGTCTCGGAAACGCGCATACAGGATCCTAGTAAAATCATTAAAATGATTTCACCTTATCAAAATAAAGAAGCAGCTCGATTTACTCTTCGGGTATCTGGAAGCCCTGATGCTGCTCCCAGGGGTCTTGCTGGCGTAGGCATAGCATTGAGTCGTAGAGCTGAACAATCTCTCCTTGACTGGATCCCTGTAGATAGTCGCTTATGCGCTGTCCGACTAAACGGGACAGTAAGGAATCGGATGGATAGGGACACTCGCCGTTGCCTCTTCGTCGTATCTGCCTATGCCCCCACTGACTGCAGTTCAGACGATGTGAAAGATGAGTTTTACAGAAAGCTTTTGGACCTCCTCCAAAAAGCTAGGCGCTCCGATGTAATAATAATGGCTGGTGACTTTAATGCTCAAGTAGGTAGACTAAGTGAAAATGAAAGACACCTAGGTGGATGTCATGGTGTCGGGGCATTCACTTTTTGTGTTCTCTCTAATTCTGACCTTCTGAATTCATCATCTCTATCTTTCTCCTTCTAAATTTATCTCACCGAATTATAATTCTCGAATCATATCTTCGCTCCTTAATCTTCTCTATTACTGCTCAAACTTCTACTATCGCTATCACTCTTGGATTTGAACTGACAGTTGCGTCTGTGTGCTGATGTGGTATGGCAACCTGAACTGATGTACTTATTTACGAAGTTCTGCGTTGTATCTGTCTGTCTGTCAGCATACAGTCCGGGGTGTTTGGAACCGGGATTCATTCATTTTTTGAAAAAATTTAACTGCAAAGCTGTTCGAAAAAAATGAGGCGTCGAATATGAGGTGATTCTTATGCTACTGAAGCGATGTAGCGAGAATAAATTCCGTCTATCATTACTTTAGTGACTTGTTTATAGCACCAGTCCGTTCAGTAATGGGTAACATAAGAGATACCAGTAACATATTTCAGAGGTGGTGTGATTTAAAAACAGGCAGTCCAAACTTTCAATAATCATATGGCAATGTTACTAGCAATAGAGGAATACTGACAAATTTATTACATAGACCATTTTCCATGACGTAAAAGCTCAAAAGCAGCCACTACTGAGCTTTTTTAATGTGGAACATGAGTGGGAAACAAACAGTCAAATCGGGAATAATGCACCTACTTTTGTAATACTGTAGACAATGATTATTTTACCTCGTATGTTTTCGGCTGGTATCCGTTTTATCAGGTTACTCACTGGTAATCATTTATGTTTGGCAGCTATCTTAATCTTCTGGCTCCAAAGTATAATAACAACATTATGAAGTATATCATCAAATCAAGCGTTCCTAGATATAACTAACTTACTAGAACAAGTAAAAATGAATATTCAGAAGTATCAAAATGATATTTGGTAACCACGAATGTAGCAGCTGCATCAGTTGTAAAGTCATTTGATCCAACATACAAGCATAAATAAACCAGTGTAAAAAGTGGCTCATTTAACAATAAAAGTGTACGGAAATGTTTAACCTACTGCTAAGCGAACGTTGATTGGAAACCACCTAAGTCGAGTAGACAGATAAAGTCACTCATACACCACACAGTAATTTTGGTCACATGAAGCCAAGATCATTATCAATACATGCGAACTGGTCAACTGCTTAACATCGATTCTGACTAAACAATAGTATTTTAACATAAATCCAAGAAACCATAACTGAATTTGCTGAAAAGCGGACTGGTAAGACCAGAAAGAAGACGAAAATAAATTATATTCCATGGTTTCGGTGATAAGTCCGGTTCTTTAACAAAAGCGACTGAGTGATCACATGTATCGAGAAAGAAACTGCAGTGCAAACCATACAACTGAAGTTAGAAAAGGTAACCAACTGCTAGAAATCATGCTTACGGTGCATGGGCGTTTGAAATAAGCAGTTTTGAATTGATCTGCCATCACACCAAACTCTTGCAGAGAGTAAGTCTTGCTTGATTGAGGGAATCCATACACATCCATTGGATTGCAGCAAATAGCTCTAATACATTCAGGGCATTTCCACTGGCATTTAGGGATGGAACGAAGAGGTGGATCGAGACAATACAAGTGATAACAGGCTTGACAAGTTTCTGTATCACAGACGAGCAGATTGGTTTCATCATCCCCGTGACCACAAACGCGACAATTATATTCATCAATCTATAAATATTAGTGAGACTGAACAAAGTTCTGAAAACTTACGTTGACTTCTGGTTTGAAATCTATTTGGAAAAAAGTAATAAGTCATATATTTATTAGAACCTACTGCCTGGTCGTCCATCTTCAGGAACTGCAGCCTTTCGACCAGCACCAAAAAACTGCAGGTTTTTCAACTCGTTACTAGCTGAATAGTCTATTTTATTTTCCTATCACACGGAAAAGTTAGTCTCTAAGAATACACCTACCTCAGTTGATTTTCTGCAACGTTTATAACTATTCCAACGACTTCTAGGATGAAAAGTGGTCTAATATTGGTAGAAAACAAACATAGAGCTACCTTGGTGGGTCGAAACGGATATGACATAGCTTGATCGAATGATAAAAGCAATTTTTCATAGTTAGTCTTGATCGAATGTGCGTGACGGCTTTGATAACCCAATTTTACAGCGATGTCAGACCACGACTGGTTATCACAAGCCTGACGATATCCACCAGCATCTGCAACGTGTTTGTGGAGAGCGTATAGATCTAGGTAACGTCCGCTAATACTGGGTACTCGAATTTTGTCGCCCCCCTGTAAGGTTAAATTAGTTACAACATGGAGAAACCTGTAGCTGGACAAATTTGTAGAGACGGCTGATGAAATTCAACTTGATACGGGAATGAGCCTGGAATACGATGTAAAAAGAAAAAGAAACTACTTCTAGCTCGTACAACCGCTGGATTCGTGGTGTGAATGAAAATTCCTTCATATTGACAGCAAACGGAGGATTCCAACACTATAAATAAAAGTTAGAAATAATTCATGAGACAACAAAGTTTCTGGGGAATGATAAATATACCCAATAATAGTACGACATATACTGGTGTGTACTATACTATTTACGAAATTTCATGAAAAATAGCTTACAAACAAAATAACTAAGAATATGAAATATTACTAAAATGCAACACAAAATACCCAAGCCTACCTTAGGAGGAACAATTTTGCATATTCCAGTTTTTATACATACAGGTCGGATTTTCATTAAGTAGCCAAGAGGATCTTCAAATTCTTCAGGAGTTGGGTAGAATACAGGAGCCTCGGGAGGTGGTACAAAAGAGAAGTCGCCTGGCATTTTTCACACCTAATGGCAGAGGAACGGTCAATGGGTGAATAGAATTAAGTTACAGTGTTAATGCCCAAAACCATATAAGTCAGTTCTAAGAAATATACAGTGTGCAGAACCAATAAATAACTAAATTATGCAGTGCGTCTGAAGTCAGTAGCCATTAATGCAATGGCGGTACATGGGACTGTCTGGCGGCATTACGAAGTTAAATAGTCCAAAACGTAAAAGCCACTTTCTTCACAAATAGATTGGTTGTAGGTCAATAAAACGAAAGATTTTCAGGCATTTTCAATTAACTAGGTTGGCAAAATTCATCAAAAAGTAATGAACTGCAAATAACAAACGAGAAAAGTAATGAGACGAAGAATTCACTAGCTTAAGGAGTTTATTGGGGGTGCAGATGCATTTATATGAGCAACGGTTGTGTTAAACAACACTTATTCACAGAAATTAATAGAATGAATAGAAAACTCGAGAGCATGAGGTTGCTTATTTCGACTTTGCAAAAAAGGGTTTGGTACAAACTAAACTAACCTTCAGTTGGGAGACTGATTTTCTGTATGAAGTATTGTTAAGCGTGGGAATGTTGAGCTGCACCACTTAGGTCTTTCTGAAGTAGGACAGAAGGATTAACGAGACGTTGAGCTGAAATATTTTTGTATATCCATTCAGTCAGTAATATGGTTTGAGTCTACTTTTTGAAAGACGTTCATATTTAGACACGATAAGTCACTATTAAGATTACTGAGATGTCAGCGGAAATTTGCCTGGTAAATAGCCTCGTCAATATGTAGCACTGGAGATGACCAGTGTGACGCAATCACTATCGTCTAAATTTATTGCATTTGCCTACTACAATTTTTTTATTAATTTTAATAATATATTCCGTCTTTTTAGAACTTTAATTGCAAGTGGTAAAATATTTACCAGCAATTATTTACATCAATCATTTTCCGAGACGAGCGGAATACAAATGGTTAACGTAAGTTCGGCGTCTGGTTGCCAAGTTGTTTCCTCGCTTTGCGGTGCGATTCTATTGTCACATAAAAGTGTTTTTATTCCACTTTCCAGCTAACTTCAACAGTTCAGGAGGCAGCAGCTCGAGAAATCACGCGTATTGAACGCATAGGAGCCCATTCACATATTCGTGGTCTTGGCTTAAATGATGATCTTGAAGCACGACAAATCTCTCAGGGCATGGTTGGCCAGTGTAAAGCACGAAGAGCAGCTGGCCTCATCTTGGGCATGATACGTGAGGGGAAAATTGCTGGGCGTGCTATACTTCTTGCTGGTCCACCAGGTACAGGCAAGACTGCAATAGCTATGGGTATGGCTCAGGCACTTGGTCATGATACACCATTCACTGCAATGGCTGGTAGTGAGATATTCTCATTAGAGATGAGTAAGACAGAAGCTCTTACTCAAGCATTCAGAAAGTCAATTGGCGTTCGAATCAAGTAGGTCACTTTATTCTTAGCATTTGTTCAGAGAAGAAGCAGAAATAATTGAAGGAGAAGTTGTCGAAGTCGTAATTGACCGTCCAGCAACCGGAACGGGTGCAAAGATCGGCAAACTAACCCTTAAAACGACTGAAATGGAAACAGTTTATGACCTAGGTCAAAAAATGATTGAATCCCTAACAAAGGAAAAAGTTCAAGCTGGGTAATTTTTCACTAATTATGTTTGATTTTCAGTGATGTTATTACTATTGATAAACCCTCTGGAAAAATTACAAGACTGGGCCGGTCGTTCACTAGAGCTCGGGATTACGATGCTACTGGTGGTCAGACCAAGTTTATTCAGTGTCCGGAAGGTGAATTGCAAAAACGAAAAGAAGTTGTTCACACAGTTACTTTACATGAAATTGACGTTATTAACAGTAGAACTCAAGGTTTCCTTGCTCTCTTTAGTGGAGATACCGGTGAAATAAAATCGGAGGTCAGAGACCAAATTAATCACAAAGTAGCTGAATGGCGGGAAGAGGGAAAGGCAGAAATTGTACCTGGTGTAAGTGTCGTCCCTTTTTCGATCATGGGCTTTGTGATTGACTGGCTTAATATTTTCATAATAATATTCATGTATATTAGAGTCAAGCTTGATGACGATCTAATTAAAAACAATATTGTTCGCTTATGTGTTGTTTCGATTTTTATCTGGTCAATTTATCTTTCTATCCTCTCGAAACACTTAATGGGAAACGTGCAATCAGCATATTTTATCTGAAACAGTTAATATCACAAAAATCACATTTTCATACTGGCCGTTGCAATTTAAATTTGGGTTAATATCGTCGAAGCATGTTTCCCTAAAACTTAGAACTCACACCGATTGGTAAGTGGTTGAAACCGGTGCCTGATATGGATTTCTACAACTAATTAAATGGACTCAAATCGGCAGTCATGGTCTTTTTCTACAGTTCGAAAATCCTAATTCGGGACTTGGCTTGAGTGTCACAGCTTAGTCGCGTTGATTACTTATTGTTCCCTTTATTTCGTGGCGTATTTATCTACCTCCTTTCTCTTCAAAGGTATTGTTTATTGACGAAGTACACATGTTGGATATTGAATGCTTCTCATTTCTTAATCGAGCCCTTGAATCTGATATGGCTCCTGTGTTAATTGTGGCCACGAACCGAGGTATCACAAGGTTAGTTAAGTTAATCTTCTATCCTTCTTTACTGATGCGTGTATGTACCAAGTTCCACGTTGTATATGGCTGACTGACGTGCTCCACTTATTTGACAAGGGATATCGAGGAACATAAAGCTAAAGCTGTCAAAAACATCATTTGACTGGTAGTGTGGTACAATATTCCTAAATATCTTAAACGTGACCCTGTGCAGTCATTTTCAACTTCGAACCCATTGTTTAAAATTACACCTTCCTGACGTGCTTTTATTAAGATGGAGATTTTAGAATCTCCTGTCTGCAAACTCAATCTTTGGAATTATTATTTTTAGACAAAGGGCATATATTTTGTCACAACCAAGTCATGATTTCTAAAGCCTCCGGTTTTAGATGGTCATTGGGATCGATAGGTTTGTCGTATGACAGAATCAAACCAATAAGTTACTGTTCACAATGCTGATTCAGATTTTTGGGGTTTTCGTAATTGGTAGATTACTGAAAACTAGATTATTCAGTCCACTGAGACATACTTCAATCATATCTCCGATCCCTAAACTTTTTGATTATCGCTAATATTTATACTACCTCAACTGCTATGGGATCCGAATCGACAATTTGATATGTGCTGTCGTTTAGCGACTTGAACTAATGTACGCAAGTTTGAAGTTCCACGTTGTAGCTGGCTAATCTATTGTGACTAGTAAGAATTCATTCGCAAGCTATTGAATCAACCTGTTCATTGTCATTTTCTTTTAAAATCGTAAAGAATTCGTGGTACTAATTACCAGAGCCCACATGGAATACCTATTGATCTTCTTGATCGTCTCCTCATCATTTCAACGGATTCTTATACGGACAAGGAAATCCAAGCAATTCTAAAAATTCGTTGTGAAGAGGAAGATGTTGATATTTCAGAAGATGCATTAGTCGTCCTCACCCGAATCGGTATGCAAACGTCCTTACGTTATGCAATCCAGCTCATAACTACCGCAAATTTGGTGTGTCGGAAACGCAAAGTTAGTGTATTTCCGTTCTCATTTACTGTTGTGTCGCATGAATTTTTGTATTCCGTGTGTAACGTATGTTAGCTGTTTGCTTCATGAATGTTATTGTACAGCTCAAAGTAGTGCATGATTTAGAGCCTGAAGCGACTCATTACATATGCTTTCTGATTTTTTGATGACTGTACTAGTCTACTTAATTGGTCCGAACTAGTTTTATTCAAAAAATTACAGTAAATAAGCGTTTAGTCCTACTATTTATAATAACTATTTAGTGAGGAGTTTTGAGATTAAGTATGGAGTTTCGGCCTATCTTTTATTTTTAAAATTTCATTTATAGAGAGCTGACAAATCTCGTTTATTTGTTTACGTGTGATAACTTATGTCAATGAATCGTTGTGGCCCACTTGTAACGCATTCATATCCTTAAGACATTTTTAGGTCTCCGACTCAATTATGTTTGTTTTGGTATCTTGATTATCGTTTCCTTATTTTGTCTCAGGGCTTAGAAGTCAGTAAAGAAGATATACGGAAAGTGTATTCTTTGTTTATGGACGAGGCTCGGTCGACTCTTTTTCTCAAGGAATATCAACAAGAATTTATGTTCAATGAAATAGCTGAAGTACAACCGTCAATTCCAGGTTCGTTATTTATGTTGTCATTTTCTAACATTATTTTATCTCATTGATCTCTCTTATTATGGATCATCACAGTCGTTAATCAGTGATAGTGGATCATGCAGTCAAATTTTAAACTGGTAAATAAGTTCGCATCTTAATAGCGATTTTTTCATGTTTGTAAGAATTGAAAAAGCATTTAAAGTAAAGATATGTAGACTGAAAAAGGCCAGCGCAATGATCCTGAGAAGTGGCGGCCGGGGAAGATGAAAACGACAATACAACAATGAACCTATTCAGCCTTATTTCAGAAAAAAGGCATTAGAAATTCAGCTCTGAGACTCACTCGGAAAAAGGTGAGTCTGTTATTCTTATTCAATTCAGGAGGTTAGAACGACGAGTGAAGTAAAATCTAGTGAAATAACTAAGAAGAAAAGGTTAAGGTGATGAGGTACTCCGAAGGTTAGGATTTGAGAGAACACAATGGATGAATGCACCTGCGCCATCGGTTTTTTTGAAACATCCGAAATAAGCGAGGTGGTAGACACGCTCAATTGCTTCACTCCTAATGACTAGTTCAGGTGCCGACGCAAGCCAATCTTGAAGCAACATTATGCATATGTAGGGTGAGAACCGCATCCCGAATATGCATTGTTGCTTAGGGTAGTCAGAAGACTGTCGCTCGTTCTGGGGCACATGTTTAGATTCAGATCATGTTCTAGTGCGAGTGCGTATTTGTTTGTGACTTACTGGACGTAGAAAAGACACCGAAAAAAACTTCTTAGGGTTCTGCTTAATGATAATAAAGCTGTTAATATATTTCATGAACAACTAGAAGTGAGAGAGCTGTAGGAAATCTGAAATCGAGCGCTTCTCCCCAACCCAGCGGTTTACCTTACTAGCAGATATCACTGCTGTTTCCACAGCCTTTTTGATATCATTCCATTTAGGGCGTTCCCTAACGCCCTAAAACAGCAAAGCATAAATTTTTCCGTCCTATCAATTAAATTTTTAGTGGTAAGCAACATTCTTCTGTTAACAATTTTGGTGCATAATAATAAATTTGACATGTTCCTATTATGTAATTGTAATAATGCTTTCTCTTTCTTTTGTATCACTAGCTGAAACAATGAATGATTGATATTTATAATAAAATCAAATTAACAGATATAACGTGACGTATTATTTACGCACTCGTGTATTTTTAAAACACACTTTTGTTTCGACTGAAATAAAAACCATGTATAAAACCTGTCGTTGTAATTAATGTTTGCATGAAGTGGGAAAGAGTTTAACTGTTCGTCCAACTAATGACTATGCGTAGCCCATTGATCAACGGTGTTTCTATTTTATAATAAAATAACGTAGACACTTGGTTCCTGAAAGAAGTTAACTATAGGTGCTAAAAGCTTAGCTAATAGCGGTGAGTGGATTCTAATACTAATGAGGAGCACAGACCATGTGTAAGTTCAGTAACGGGACTCCCAAATGCCCTGATCTGGCCGAGTGCGCTCTTCTCGAAATTCTTTCACTTGATCACACGTATACAGCCACTGCTAGGGAAGTCTTATTCACTGCCTACTCGTGGCGCGGGTATTATTTACGAGACTGAGAGGATGGAAATCGAGTGTCCGGCGCTCAAACAAGATTAGTGGATACGAAAGATTCACCTAAGAGAGTTGAGAAGCCGTGATTCCAAACCAAAGGTACATATAGGCTCCAGGACTCGGAAGGAACGAATGGTGTGTGATCCTATTGGTCACCTGCTACCATCGGGCCGCATCTTCATGTCTCGTGGGTTAGGCCTGTCAGAGACCCGGGGAGTGACTCTTCGTGGAAACCACCTGTGTCGGTCCGGGCACAAGGTCAGCCAGTCAGTTACAAAGTAGAACTTCGTACGTACGTACATTAGTCCAGGTTGCCATACCGCATCAGCTCAGGGGCGCAACTATGTAATGGAGAAGATTAAGGAGCGAAGATATGATTCGAGAAGTATAATTCAGTGAGATAAATTTAGAAGGAGAAAGATAGAGATGATGGGGAATTCATAATATTAGAATTAGAGAGAACACAAAAAGTGGATGCACTTGCGCCATTGCAGACGATTTTGAGCCATGTCATTCAAGGTCTCTAACCAGGTAGCCTACATCTATCAACATGACTCAGTCCACTTGTCAGTGACTTCATGGATTTCTGCCATGTTTTGGTCTGGCCGCCCCTAGCTTTCTTTCGACCTACTCCTACACCACAAAACAGCTCGTCGAGGCAGTCGGGCATACGTAACCCATGTCCCAACCACCTCAACTAACGAAGTTTCAATACTTCATCTATTGATTTGCCATCCTTACCTAGAACTCGTTTCCTAACGACAGCATTGCTTATACTGTTGTCCCAGGGTACACGGCCATGTTTCGCATCCGTACAGTAGGACAGAGCGAACTGCTGCACAGTACATTCGTCCTTTGGTTAGCAAACGGATATCTCGCCTGCGCCATAAGTGACGCAGGTTGGCAAAAGCCAATCGAGCCTTCTGTATCCGTGCTGAGATTTCGTCAGTCACCAGGCCATCAGCACTGGTGATATCGGGCATAAGGGAAGTATTTCAGACCATACGCAAATCTAATGACCTCCGGCGCATAAATATTCTGACGCCTTTTTGTAGCAATGTTTGTATTCATACAACAAATGTATATCAATAAACACAACAACGCTCAGAAAAGGGACTACTCTTCGTAAGTGTTTTGAGTCCTGATCAGGGACGGACATCATAATATCACTATATGCAGTCAGAATAAGTATTGTTTAAACTCACGACTGAATTTGATCAGTCTTCTTAACCTCGTGGGTAACTTGAACGGGAACATACAAACATTTCAGTAGAGATTCTAATGTTGAAATGTGTTAGCCATTCTATAGTGTGCACGAAAGCGTACTACTACTATACCTAATAATAATAGTCAGGAAATCTTATACATTATTCACAACTTAACAAGCCTAAAAGCAGTTAATCTAAGCATTATTTAGATTTCTGATACGTTACTAGCTTATTAAGACCTGTAGGATTTAATTTGCCCACGGATCAATTTCTTGAATACATCCCTATACTGCCATATAGAATCTTAGCAGCAATGTGGTCAAAATAGGTGACTATGTATATGGCCAACAATCATGTTTCGAAAATGTAAATTGATATGATTAGTAAAAACACAGAAAATAGTTGCCGATTACAACACCACTAAGAGTAGCAGACAGCCAAATCAATAACAAGGGGTTAGTCATGTTTGTATAACTGGTGCAATTTTATGATTTGTAGTTAAAAAACGGGTCAAACTAATAGGCAGTCTGGAACTAAATTAGTTTTAAATGGTGGGGGTTTGACTCAAATATTATTGGTTGATCCACTCTTATCAACAAGACGGCAGGGTTTCTGCTGGTGAAGAATAATTCGAGGGAAATTCCTGTAACGTGTGCAAAAACTAAAATAAAATAAACTTATATTATAAATAAAAATAATCTGTACAACATACATCCCATTGTTGGTCATACAAAATGTGACATCGGGTCATCGCGATTAACTTTAGTACGATAATAGGCTTCCATCTCCTCTGCAGTAGGAGCTTTAACTTCGGCAAGTGAATTATATGGTCGTTTACGCTCATCCATTGCAAGATATTCATCTACTGCTTTCAAACGTTCTCTTTCCTTTTTTATTGCTTCTTGAATTAACCGTTCTTGTGTTTCTTCCACATCCTCCTCAGATTCTGCAGACGAACTGGAAATATGATTCCGCTTACGTTTGTGCTTGCTTTTGGAGGACTTTTTGAGATGATCTTTTCGTTTCTTCTTCTTATCAGCGCGCTGAACACGAATACGCTCACGACGCGTCTCTGATCGTGCTAACTCTTTGCTTTTATTCTCTATGGTTTTTGTATCTACATGATGTTCGTCTACATCGTCAGCTGATACAACCCTAGAATATGGCTGTTCCATAACTGTTTCCCGATGGTTATCACTCTCGTTTACACAATCTACTATTCCTTCCTCTGAAGAATCACTACTGCAACTCGAGGATGAGCTTGAACTAGAACGACTTGAAGCTGATTTGCTTTTGGTCCGTTTTCGTTTTTTGTGCTTCGAAATATCTCTATTTGTATGATTCTCCGAGTCAGCTTCATCGACAAAGTTGGTATCAGCATCTGTAGGCATGGGTGGTGGTTTTAGCAAAGCTACAGCTGTTGGTCCATCTGGAACTTCCGGGAAACTCGTTTCCTTACTTTTTTCTCCTAAGCAATAAGATTCTTTGATGAGCGAGTGGCAACACCGATAGCCCCATTGACCATTGAACCAATATGAACCCCACACACTCTGGAAAAATAAATTACGGAAGATCAAAAAGTTCAGTTCCTAAATTATTTGTTCGATCGACATTGTTTTTCGGTTTATAGACTTACATACTTAGCAAGCAAACTGTAAAATAATTTCAATTAAAATCTCTCACAAATAAACCTTTTTTAGCATGCTACAAATTCACTCATACAAGCAACATAGAAAATCATCCAACATATGTGCGAATCTTCGAATAAAACTTTCTGGCTCTTGCTTTGCCATCACACAAATTGATTCCAGATAGAATATTAAATATTCCTCCTTAGTGAGAAGCAAACATTTCTACATAAGATACGAATCAACTAGTTCTCAAATGGAAGGTCAGATTATTATAATTACCATCTTTAACCATCCAATTACAAAGATGGAGTTGAGGAACAAAAGTATGGAAACTTTAGTGTAAGCACAAGAAAATATGCCACATAGCGTTAGAGCAAGTCCAAATAACTTCAGAACGAAAAGATAAGCACTCACTGTATGATTGTTGACAAAGACATCTTCTTCATAACGGGACTTGACTGTTGGTTTTTCAGCTCCTCTGATCATACGACCTGTAGGAGAATACTCGGCATATGATTCCCATTGACCAAGTATTAATTCTTTCGGGATCGATTCCAGATGTTCATGGCCACCATAACGTTCAAGGATTTCTGCACGTACTTTGTTTTGGACATCACATTTGGCTTTAGACACCTTTTTAGCTAACAATTCCAGACGAGTTGGATCTGCCTAGTATTTTTAAAAAGAATCATCGAGTTAATTATTATTATGGATTAAGACTTATTAATTCTAAGAAGTTTTTGGTTGTTGCAATCAAGAATGTAGTGCTGATCGATGGATGATATGCAGTGTTCACGAAACTGAATTTCTGATATACGTCGCCCGACGAACTGATTTCAGAAGACGTGACAACTGCCCAGCAAAATATGTATTTGTAGGTGGCAAAATAATGTGGTCCTACAAAGATTAACAAGTGACTGGAAGATACGGATTTTGAAATCGCTCAGGTGTTAATGGGACTAAAACCTGATTGTTGGGTTCAACTGTTACCTAGTCATATCAGTCAGATGTAATAAAAGTAGCCCAAGATGCCATACCCAATCAACACAACGGTGTTAACTATCTGAGGAGTGCTCATTAACGATAGTGGTGCAGACAATGAAAAACAAGTAAATAAAATGTAACCACACTTACTTGTAAATGAACATCTAAGCCCAGTTTATCGTGCATTTCCCAAGCAAATACTTGTCGATCAATCATGTCCTGAACATCTCCGTCATAACGCACAAAATTATCCCCAGCAAAAGGAACTTCGGATTCAGGTTTTCCACTGTTTTCGAAAGGATTACCGCGCATAGCACGGGTTTTAGAGTCATAGTAGGCACTGTTAGGATCCAAATTGAATAGATATTTAGCAGTGTCCTCACGAATACGCAAGTTACGGATGGATTGACGTTGCTTACTATCAAACTTTTGCCCAGGCATATCCAACTCATCACCATATTTGTCACCATCTTCGGCATCGAAATCGCCATCGTCATCCAAGCTGGGTTTGGCGGCAGAGGCTGCAGGTTCTTCCTAATAATAAATAAAATATCGTGTAGACTTTGAAAACAAAATAACTGATAATCAAAATACTGATCTGTTGATTTGCAAGGAACTCTACAGTCGTTTTATTCTTTATGCACTAATCCCATAGCTTCTTAATGAGTGTTTTTAGACAGGTATCCGGTCAAAGAGAAACAATCTATAGAATGTGTCTCAACCTAAAGTAGTTGGGACTAGGTTTTCAATGAAATGTGTTCAGTTTAACTGAAAAGTAAAAGCAGTGATGACTGTGACGACATTATATCCTTAGTATAGTATCAAATCCTCAAAAGAAAATGTCTACACAAATCTCTCCTATTTTTTATTTACGTCACAAAAACATATAAAAGGATGAAATTATACAAACTTAAATGAAATTTTTAGTACAAAAGAACAACCCATAAAATAAATAAGTGCATAAATCTTAAAAAATGAATGTCTAGTCTTCGGATCCAACATATGTTCACCTATCTGTACCACTGCTAATGATTCTGAACCACAACATTTAATACCTTCAGTCACGGATTATGATAATCGCACGGACCCCAACCAGGTAGTCTGCATTTACCAACATGTCTAAGTTCAAATACTAATAACTTCATGGAATAAAGTTCTCTTGGGTCGATAATGTACTCTAGGCGCGCGAATAAACTACGTACTATGAAAATAACAGAAAAGTTAGAAAACGAGGAAGTTATCGCTAAAAGAATGTCTATAACAAATATGGAAATGGAGAAAGCAGACAGACTTGATGAACACCACTTCGGGTTGATAATTTAGATGACAGTACGCATTAGTTCTAGTTCAACCAGTGTTGTTCGAATCGAGTCTGTAAAAAGTTTGTGTGCTTCTTTGGTACGCCTTTCAATGAAAGACACTGCCACAAAACCTTTCGATGAACAAAACTGAATGTGGCTGAGGAATACAACCATAGTCGAACGTCGGAAATTATGTTTCTGTTCTGAAAAATTTATGCATTTAGTTTACCTGACTAATAATTAACATATCTTTTACAATAAACAATACTCACTTGCCCACCACTTCCTTCTGCTGCCTTAGCTAATTTTTCTTCTAATTTTTTTGCTTTGGCTATTTTTCTTGCCTCTTCGAGTCTCTGATACTCTTCGAATATCCTTTTATGTTCCGATGGGTCATATCCATTCCACCGATCACGTTTACCCTCATAGTCCAAATCCAGAGTTACTTGCTGACACTCATCTCCAGCAATATCAAGACCAGTATACTTAGCACCAACCTGAAAATTAGTAGATGTATTTAGTGTAATATTTTTATTCAGTTGTAATATTGTACTTCATAAAAACCAGCGTAGTAGATGCAAATTTGTTACACGTAATTACAAGTTTTAAGCTCTGCAAGTGGAGTGATGTTTACTGTAGACAGCTAAGGATATTAATGACCAAATCACGGATTCCCTCAACCTTCTTAGGTCATTTTTCAAGTAAAATAGAATAAAAAATAGTGGTAAAATCAGCCTAACAATTCAAGTACTTGGATATGGATTACACTCTAAGCGTGTGCGCCAATGATACTACCTAGTTTCCCAAGCCAAACTACGTGAAGTGGGGTTCGAACTGGAAATGAATGGCTGAAAATCCGTCTTCAGTCAGTTAGTCAATAACAACAGTGAATATCGTACGTACGTACATCAGCTCAGGTTGCCATAGCACATTAGCATAGAGACACAATTCTCAATTTAGATCACATAGTAGTAAATGTATTGGCAGTAATCAGAGAGATTAGGGTTCGAAGATATTAATCAAGAAGTAAAATCTAGTGAAATAAATTTAAAAAGGAAAGATAAAGATGATAAGGTACTCCGAAGGTTAGGGTTTGAGGGAACACTATCAATGAATGCATCTGCGCCATCACAAACGATTTTGAGCCATGTCGTTCAAGGTCTCTAACCATCGATTATTAACATCTCACGGACTTCAACCAGGTAGTCCACATCTACCATCATGACTCAGTCCAGTTGTCAGTGACTTTATGGATTTCTGCCATGTTTTGGTTCGACCGCCCCACTACTGTTCGCGATCTTTGCGTAGGCTTTTTATCATCCTGCGCCTAAGCCAACTCCGCTCCTCAGAGCCAGACAGGATGAGTTTTCGAGCATCCATCAATTCGGTAGATGTTACTGAAATCCACCGCTTCTAGCCAACCTTATGGTTTACCTTACTAGCAGATATCAGATTTTTGGATACCATCCGAAGCTGTCTCGGGATGCAAATCACCAACTACATGGCTGCCTAACTGTTTTTCTAGTTGTTCCTGGAATATATTCATAGCTTTGCTATCACTAAGTAGAACCCTAAGAGGTTTCCTTGTGATATCTTTTCTACGTCCAGTAAGTCTGAAGCAAATACACGCTCGCACTAGAGTATGGTGCTATGAGCGGCAATCTTCAATAGAGCCTCTCCATCAGTGGCTTATGGGGATGTGATTTGGTTGGATCCAGCGTTGTGATGACTTTCGAGGTCGCCAGGTCAAAAGATGTTTTTCCTTATGATTAAAGTTATTATTTGCAATAAATAGGTGGTTATCTGAGCATAGTTGCAGTAGACGGTCGCCATTATCTGTTCTGTTAGTCGCGAGACCATAAGATCCACCCACGTGTCTTTCTTTTTCACTTAGTCTACCTACTTGAGCATTGAAGTCACCAGCCATTATAACTATAACTATATCAGAGCGGTTAACTTTTTGAAGGAGGTTAGAGAGGTTTCTGTAAAACTCAATTTTTATCTCGTCTGAAATGTAGCCAGTGGGAGCGTAGGCAGGGATAACAAAAAGGCAACGACGAGTTTCTCTATCTTTACGCGTACTTACTGTCCCGTCTGGTCGAACAGTGCATAAGCGACTGTCCACCGGGATCCAGTATAGGAGAGCTAGTCCTGTCCTATGATTTAATACTATACCTACACCAGCGAGGCCAGAAAATCCGAGGGCAGGTTCAATATATAGCAGTTTACTTCATTTCTTTTCAGATGTTGCTTAGTAGCGAAAATCCGTCTTCATTGCTGAGCGACCTCTGCAAAAAATGAAGCAAACTGCTATATAATAAACCTGCCCCCTTACAGACCAACGAACATATCAAAACAGATATGTGGACGAAGAATATTCTTCTCAATAAATTCTATTCACGAAAACGTCAATTCTTACAGACATTAGAAAAGTAATAAAGAATAACAATGTCTACAAAATGGCAACTGACAAAGTAACTAGAAAGCGTAAGAAACCTGGTATTCTCTTTGAAAAGAAGAAATATTACATGTGTGTATACTACAGAATATAAATCCATCGGATAGCCATGAAGCTTATTAGTAGCTCGGCCTGGTTCTCCCAAATTTTACAGTCAGTTGCAACGTAGAACTTAGTACGTATTTACATAAGTTCATGTTGCCATACCACATTAGCACAGAGACGCAAATGTCAAATCAAATCCCATAGTGATAAAGATAGTAGAGGTATTAATGGTAATGAAGAAGACTAGGGTTTGAAGATATTATTCAAGAAGTATAATTCAATGAGATAAGATTATAAAGACAAAGGCAGAGGTATTGACGAATCCAGGAGATTAGGATTTGAGAGAACACAACGAATGGATGCACTTGCGCCATTGCAAATGATTTTGAGCCATATCGTTCAAGGTCTCTAACCATTGGTGACTTTAGTCTCGCGGGCCCCAACCAGGTAGTCTACATCTACCAACATGACTCAGTCCACTAGTCAGTGACTTCACGGGTTTCTGCCATGTTTTCGTCTGGCCGCCCCTAGCTTTCTTCCATCCTACTCCTACACCACAAAGCATAGCTCGTCGAGGCAGTCGGTGGTTAGCCATACGTAACACATGTCCCAACCACCTCAACTGATAAAGTTTCACCACTTCATCAATTGATCTGCCATCCTTACCTAGCATCCGTTTCCTAACGACAGCATCGCTTACTCGGTTGTCCAACGGTATACGAGCAATGCTTCTTAAACATCTATGATCGAATACGAGTAACCTACGAACATCTACTCTGAACGGCCATGTTTCAGTCAGTCAGTCAGTCAGTCAGATGCAACGTAGAACTTTGTACATAAGTACATCAGTTCATGTTGCCATACCACATCAGCACAGAGAAGTAATCGTCAATTCAAATCCAATAGTAGAAGAGGTAGTAAGGGAATTAGAAATAATCGGAGAGGTTAGGATTAGAAGATACTATTCAAGAAGTATGATTCAGTGAGAAAAGTTTAGAGAGTCGAAACTAGAGGGGTTGAAGAATCCAGAAGATTAGCATTTGAGAGAACATAGAGAATAAATGCACCGGCGCCATTGCGAACGATTCTGAGCCATGTCATTCAAGGTCTCTAACCATCGATTATTATCATCTCGCGGACCCCAACCAGGTAGTCGACAATTACTGACATGGCTCAGTCCACTAGTCAATGACTTCATGGATTTCTGCCATGTTTTGGTTTGGCCGCCCCTAGCTTTCTTCCAACCTATTCCCACACTACAAAACAAGGCTCGACGAGGCAGCCGGTGGTTGGGCATACGCAACACATGTCCCAACCACCTCAACTGGTGAAGTTTCAATACTTCATCGATTGATCTGCCATTCTTACCTAGCACCCGATTCCTAATAACAGCGTTGCTCACTCGGGTGTCCCACGATATACGAGCAATGCTTCGAAGACACCTATGATCGAAAACCAGTAACCTACGAATATCTTCTACTCTCACTGGCCATGTTTCACAGCCATAAAGTAAGACGGAGCGAACTACTGCACAGTACACTCGTCCTTTAGTCAGCAAACGGATATCTCGCCTACGCCATAAGTGACGCAGGTTGGCAAAAGCCAATCGAGCCTTCTGTATCCGTGCTGATATTTCGTCAGTGACCAGGCCATCGGCACTGATGAGACTCCCAAGAT